CAACGCTATATTCTGTGCGGATAATACTAGGGTGAATGTCTCCTGTGGCTCATGGAATCAGCTTTTTCTGTTCACCACTAGGAAAATTCACTCCACTATTATAAGGACAAAACATAGTGTTGTTCGGGCCGATTATAGGGTTTGTAGGGTTCCTCTTTCATATGGCCCGAACAACACTACGTTTTGTCCTTATAATAGCGGAGTGAATTTTCCTAGTGGTGAACAGAAAAAGCTGATTCCATGAGCCACAGGAGAAATTCACTCTAGTATTATACGGACAGAACATGGTGTTGTTCGGGCCATATGAAAGAGGATCCCTACAAACCCTATAATCGGCCAGAACAACACTATGTTTTGTCCTTATAATAGTGGAGAAAACCTTTCCTGATTCATTTTTATACCTAGATTTAAAAGTTAAATATCTCCCTCTAGGCAAGTCATTAGCAGCTAATATTTTAACCCTGTTAGTTTCTCTGTGAGAGCTTTCATTTGACACCAAAATAGTTAAGGAAATCGTCTGACATGATAAACGGTTCCATTGTAAGAAGAATACATTTGTTTTTCGGTTATCTTGCGGTATAGAGTGTTGTCTAGTGACAGTTTAAGTAGTTCGATATCTTCCTTACAATTAATACTACTTATAGCTTTAAACAGAAGGCTAATCTAATGTACTAGGTGTATATCACAATGTAATCAGCATGTCATTAGACGGATCATTTCATGGTTAGTGATATCAAAATTTGAATATAGTATCTTGTGGATATGTGTCGAATAACATAGATACTTAGTCATGGCGGCTTCTAGCCTAGACATGAGTGAGTATCTATATCTATTTAGTACACATCAAACAGCAAAAATATGATATACGATACGTTGACGGTTATTGAAGGAAATTCGAGAGAAAAAAAAAAGTGTGATTTTATCGTCTTTTGATCAGTTTTTACATCCAAATTTAATGTGGAATTATTACACTCTAGCAGAAAAGCAAAAACATTTGAACGGATCGAAATTGAATAATAAGTTCGTCTATAATTATTCTGTGTGATGTTTAATCTTCGCTGATATAATATTCTCAATCTTATGAGAGAAGTTTTCTAATAGTTAAATCATTTTCAAATCGAGATAATGTGCACTATATCGACCTATATGAATTATAAATATCTTGAAAAGAATTCGTTTACATAATGCATATAGTATCAACTGAAAAATCTATTTATCTGTTGTTAAGAAAAAAAAATGATTTATTTTCAGTGATCCATATATGATATTTTAATTTCTTACATTTCGATCAAGTGCAACAACTAAAGTAATTGGATCATGTATAGCAAGCATTGATGCACGTCGTTTTCGTAAACGTTGTGGAATAATTTCACCACCACGTTGAAAAACAGGGATCTAGAATGTCAAAAAGAATATTTCAATATTATTTAATTATAGATTTTCTTTTTTTGGGTAAATGTACCGATTCCATATTAACATTAATAAGTCCTCTTTCTAAACCATTATGTTGAGCAAATGTTCGTATATCATACCAAACCTTTTGCATAAATAATAAACAATCAATTTTGATAAAAAAATTTTTCTTTATCAATGCATTTCTTACCGTATTTTCTCCAGGAAAATAAATTGAAACTTGATTTGTATCGGCTTCCGTTACAGGACAAACAAGAAGACCATTACCTATAAAATATATAATCTCAATCAAATTTATTTTCTTTATTAATCATATATACCAATCATAAATGAATCTTCGGCTCGAAATGTATTTTTATCACGTGGAAAATTTGCCCATAATGGTAACATTGGTGGTATGCCTTGTTTTTCTTGTTTATAGAATAATGTATACCAATAAGGTAAATAACTATAACGTTGTTCAATAGCTTGTCGAATAAGTCGTGTATTTTCATCACCAAATAACCATGGTTCACGGCGAGCTGTATCAATATGAGCATGTTCACGATAAAATGGTTGAAATGCTGCAGCCTAATAAAAATAAAAGCACATTATTATTTAGCAAAGCAAAAGCAACGATGACATTTTGACTACAGAACGGAGCATAAATAGCCTTGTGGAGAAGAACTTCTTCTATCTAATGGTAGACGTATACGAGTTCGGTGGTTCCAAAAACAAAATTGGCGCCGAGAATCGAACTAGAAGCTACTTTTTTGAAACCGTCGAACTCCAGTTCGTATTATCAGGTTCTACTGTGTACCATTGACATGTCAATAAATGTCACCACCTTCATCGCTTTCTACCACATTCCCGATCAAGATGACACCATCTATTAACACTACAAAGTAGAGTCCGCCGGATCGAAAATTTTCTAATTGTAATTGAATAGTCGTCCCGAAGATACGATATACTATTTTTCCAATTTTTTTTGTATTCGTTAACTAATGTACCCTACACATTTCTCTGACGACTAGAGTCTATCAAGTTCAAAGATTTTTGAATCCAGTACCAACTAGATTGAAGGCTAATTCCAAAAGCCTTAGTACGTGGTAGAACTTGATAATGTATATACTGTTAAATAGATGAAATTTTTCTCTACAAGTCTCTTTATATGTATTCCTTTTTGTAGTCAAAAAAATCATCGAAAAACTAATAGTCTTGATTTTTTTTAATAACATACTTGATACCATCGAACAAGTAATTGTGGATCAGGATTATTAAAGAATCCACCAACATCAGCACCAACAAATGGAATACCAGTTACTGATAAACTAAGTAACATTGGTACAGCAATTTTAAGATGACTCCATTGAGCTGCATTATCACCTGTCCAAACAGCTGTTGTTCGTTGTGAACCAGCAAAAAATGAACGAGTTAATACAAATGGACGTGTGTTTCCGTTTGAACGGTCAACAAGACCATTAAATGATGCCATATGTTGAAGCATACCATATATATTGTGTACATCACGATTTTCCCATCCACCATAATGAACAATATCTTTTGGAAATGTAACTTCAGGTCCATTGAAAACAGATGGTTCATTCATATCATTCCAAATAAAAAGATTTGGTGTTGAACCTTTATAAGCTTCATAAGTAAAACGTTGAGAATACCATTTATAGATGTCTGGATTAAAATAATCAAGCCACATTGAAGAACCTAGTCAGAAATAAAATAAGATCTTTTGAATATTTGTATGTTAATAATTATCCTTAAAAATCAATTTAATTTTAATTCTTACAAAGAAAACTCGATAAGTGATTAATAGCTTTTGAAATGAGTTTTTCTTCTTGAGTTTGTATCATTGTAGTGATTTTTCAAAAGACTGTTCTAGGCTGTCTCAAATTATTTTTCGAATTTAAACTTTGCAACAATGAAGTTCTCAAAGATATTCCAATTCATTGTGAAAGTGCCAGGTTACCTGATATTTCCTTTCTTGAGATATAAATATACGAACAAACTTTTTGTCTTTTGTATAATACAATTTTCAATATTGATATCGAAGATCGTAGAAAATCTGACACTTCCACAATGAAGTTACCTCATTGAAAAATGTCCCAAAACCAGAAAATAGGGAACCTTAAGCTTAAAGTCTTCACTATTTGCTCTTCAAAACTTAGCAATCGGTTTTACAATATTTGTTGAAAAAGATCACTAAAATAATCAAAACTGAACACTAAAGACCCAGCGGCAAGAATCTTTTAAGAATTAACAACATATTTTAAGTTCATACACAGTATTATTTTATACTGGGGCCTAAACAGATATATGAACAAGAAAGATAAGTTCACGAAGTTCCAAAAGTTTCTTCGGAAATATCTGTGCGTTGTTTTCATTAAATGTTAACACATTTACATCGATATATAATTCAATATTTTATTTTTCGATGGAAAAAAATTAGAACTTCATTCAAATGAAACATTTTCATGTTAAGTAGTAATCTTCTCTTGGTATTCTATACCTCACAAGGAATCCATGGCTTCACTCCGGAGTTGCCCGTCATTAAATTGATCCTTTCTACCTTGACCGTTAAAGTACTTTATTACAGATACACAAAAAAAAACAGTACATCACGATAGCAGTAAACCTTATCACAGTATCTTCTTGTAAAAAATCTGCAATCCTTGTCTTGTTCTTCCGTTTCCAATGCCCGATTAAAATACATTTATTTATCCTTTGTGCATCGTGCGATTCTGCTCTTTGTTCTATAGTATCACTGTGGTCAGAGATAGAACGGAACAGATCTCAAGCTGATTTTACAGTAAAAGAACATCTGTAAAATACGATTATTGTTCTAGCTGTTGATCATTGAGAAAGTTTATTTTATATAATTTTCTCTATAAATGTTCAAGAACATTCTAGAAACTTTAATCACGGTAAACTTTGATCAGTTCATTTGGTAGGATATCTGTAGAAACTGTGGACATTCAATTTTACTTATATAAGATGTTTTATAGATAAATATCAAAGTAGTCATTAATGTTTGCAGTTCTTACAGATACGCCATCAAAAGTTCAAGACAAATTAATAACATCCTAGAAAATCGCAGACATTTTTTATTTCTGATTTTTAACTTAAAACAGAGATAATTATGTTTTATTATAGTGATAAAGATTTTGTATTCGAAAAAATTCAATTCATTCTTACCTGGCCAACACCATCCTTCATAATCTGCTCCATCTTTTGTTTTAACAAAATAACCATGTGATTTAGCTTCTGCATATACATGATATCCATCATCTTTTTTTATATGTGGATCAGTAATAGTAACCATTCGTCTTCCATAAATAGCTAAATCATCTTGTAATTTTTCTGGATCAGGAAATTTCGATGTATCCCAAGTAAAATAACGTTTACCATTTGTATGTTCAATATCAAGCCAAATAACATCAAGTGGAATTTGATATTGTTCAAAACCATTATTGACACTAATAAAAGAAAATTTTATTTGGTAGAATTAAAATAATTTTATTTCAAATTAAACAAACCTTCGTACATCATCTTCATCATTATAATTCCAACGACATTGATGATATGCCATTGCCCAAAGCTTAAAAAAGAAATCATAAATCTTTTTTTCTAACAAGAGAACTATCCGAATTGATCTCTGTTGTTTGAGTTTATATCGTATTCACAAGGAAGTATCGGTAAGAGTAAAAAAATTTTTAGAGTTCATGTTCATGAGCCGAGTTATGATTCATAAAAAAGTTTGATGACTCTAGGGATATCTAGAAAGTTTCAGACGAAAGAATATGTCTTTGTTGAGATATTGAATTTTAATACAAACTCGATTTTTGTGTTGTTGGTTATATTAGCTCCAGACAGTGACGTATCCAGGATTTTTCAGTATGCTGAATCTTGACTTTTGAGCATGGGACCCAAATGAAACTCATAGAGGGTGATGTTGAGTCCAAATGATGGAATTTTATCAAAAAAAATTGCACTCGGAGTTTGCGAAAAAAATTAGCATTTTCCTGATCCCCCCTCCTAGGATTTTTTACTGTTAGTATTATCTTGGATTTTAGAATTTCATAGGAAGCTATACCGAATTTCATCGACNTTATTTGTTGTCTCGTTTATTCGAAATAGACTCATAGAATGAAGACATTCATTGGCTCATTGATTCTTGTTTTACTTTTCGATATTTCGAGTATGTTTTAATATTTGTTTTGTTTCTTTTTATTTCTTTTAAGCTTCTAATGAAGGTAATCCATTATTTTGAAGCGTAACAATAAGACTGGCAAGTGTCGCTTCAGGATGTGTTGCTTGTAGTTTTGACCATTCAGCAACAACACGATTAAATTCTGGTATACCTAATAAAATAAACGACATTTTTACAAATATAAAAAATAACTTTGTATATATATATATATATTTACTCATGCAAAAGCCTGCTACAGGAACCATAGATTTGCAACAAACAATATGATTTTCTGGACATTGACTATTTTCGATATCAGGAACAATTTCATGACCATAATCAATATGTGATGTAGGTCTTCGAAAAATAAAATTTTCAAATGATAAAATTTTAATATTCAAAATAAATAATTACATATGTTCAATATGATACACTGAACAAGATGACCATCCACCAAATCCACAACTTTCATGACCAGCAAGAACAGCTTGTGTTTGTCCTGTTGGTTCCCAACGAATAAAAGTTGTTGTAATAACTTTCATTCTAGCTGGATTACCATTTTTACAACACCATGCACTAAACTTTTTATTTTATTTTAAGGAAAAAAAAAAAAATTTAACAAGAATTAAATTACTTTGTATCTTCACGATTTTCAGATGTAGCTCGAACTTCAAGTAAAGCTTGTTGATAAACGGATGGTAATGAACGAAAATTTAATTTCGATAATTTTTCTCGATGATCATCATTCAATGGTGATTGTACTAAATTATTTTATTTTAATAGATGAATAACAAAGAAACAAAACAAATATTAAAACATACTCGAAATATCGAAAAGTAAAACAAGAATCAATGAGCCAATGAATGTCTTCATTCTATGAGTCTATTTCGAATAAACGAGACAAAAAATAAAATAATATGTGCATTGAAAAATATTGAAAAAATGTCCATGAGAAAAAATAACAGATGATAATTTTATAAGAGGCGTTAAGTTATATTATCTGTACTCATCGTTGTCTTATCAATTTTTATTGATCGTGCTATAATAACATTATTTATTTCTAGATCCGATAACATTGTCATTGGTGTTGAAGATGCAAATGGAATTCTCGATTGTATTTTTTGTGTTACTGACAGTGATTCTGTATAAGGACCCATTGATATAGCACTTGCTGTTGCTTGTTGAGGAGTTTGAATATTAAGTGGTGCGACATTTTGTCCATAAGCCCAATTATGATAACATATATTTAATTTACCATAAAAACATACGAGTGTTGTTATAAAAAAACCGACACCTAAACTTATAACACCAATACCAATAAGTGTTGTTTTTTTAGTTTCCGATATAAGACCAGTTATGATAAGACTAAGTCCAATTATAATCGATAGACAACCAGCAATAATACATGAGTGACCTACTTTATGTGTATATGATCGATCGGACACAACTATTGGTATTATATTTGGATTACGTATTCGACCATTGAAAAAGAACATTGTTAAAGATTAAAAAGCACTATGCTAAGAAGAAGTTGTTTTTACAATATGCATCTAATATATAAAAAAAAAGAAAAAAGAAAGGATGTTACTTGATCATTATCGCTAAGATTATTGAGCATAAAATTGCAAGAATACATATTATATAAGATAAATAAATACTGACAAAAACAAAAAAAACAAGAAGGATTATCTATCAATTTTAAATAAAACTTCTTTTAAATTATTGAATGATCTTTGAAAATTTGGTGTTTTTCTTCAAATAGATATTCAATGGAAATAAATTTAAAATCATTGAGAATAAGCGATAATTGTTTTTATTGTATTCATTTTATTACGGATATAAGAACAACTGACTTGCGTGCCGCAATTGTAGAAAATCTTTTCCTAAAACAAAAAGGTGATGTTAGCTAGTACTAATCGAGATAAATTTACAACATGAAAAAAAAAAAGAACAAAAGAGCAAAGTATTTGTGAAATCTGAGTTCAGAAATAAAAAATGAGTATTTACAAAGAAAACAATAGAACATAGTAAATGATTGATATTTATAGACGTTATAAACAAATAAATAATTCATTAACAGCAAATATTCTACGCAGAAAAATAATATTTTTCTTGCTTGTCTTTCATTGCCTTTGAAACAAAAGTTAGAAAAATTGAAAATTTGTATTGGAATTGAATATTAACTTGATATTGATAGACCCTATTTGTATAGTATTACAAGTTATTTTGAATCATGATATTAACTTTATTTAATAAATTTTTGAATTCGAATAGTAATTTTTCCGTTTATATGTTGTTCTATAGAAATAGAGTTATTTAGGATATACCAAAAGTGGTAGCAGTGGTACTTCAATGCTGTATAAAATGGTTGAGGAAACTTTTGGTCTCTATGCATTGATAGTAAAAATATAGTGCTCTATATTTTTTCAATATTTCATCATTTTGCGAAAGACAATCTAAAAGAAGTGTTGAAGTTTAGAGGTAAAAATTTGGATTTTCTTCCTCACACAGATCGTGACAGAAGTTAAACAGGATGTCCGTGCTAATAGCATTAGCATTGACTTTTCCTGAAAAAAAAATTTTTCTATTCTATACTTTCTATGAAACAGCGACTGCACGCATGAATTTTACACCCACTTTCCTGAACCTCACTTTGCGATGTTCCCTATGTTTGGTACGTCTCTAGATCCAACACGGCCTAGATATCATAGTGAAGAACATATCTCAAAAATACAAGTGTATAAAACTGCTTGCTCCCACTTGAATATCTTTAAACTTATGTATTAAAATAAAGATAAAGCTACATACTTAATTAAAAATGGGATACTTTCAAATCAAACTTGAAGAAAGTATTTCTTTGATATATTCAATCTAATAAAAGGCTTTCGTTTCACAATAAGTTAATTTCGTAATTATATATGAATATGGTGTTTCGGTGGTATGTATTAGCTGATTTTGTCATGATTAGCATCTATCAACAACATTATGAGCTTAAACTTCGATTCAAACATCAATAATCAACATTCACTTACTTTTCTATTTTTAGAAAATTGCACAAGATCATTAATTGTTGAGTAGAAATAGTTTGGTAGAGTTACTACTTTGAATTTTCTACAACCGGAAACGATATTTTTTTAATCAAGTGAAATTAGACTCTTATTTTCTTTTTTCTTTCAAATATTTTACAATTTATTATAATAAATCGAAATACTGAGAAGAACGAAACTAATTAAATGATATATATATATATTTTGTTGTGTTTGTTAAATACTTTCGACTGACTAAATCACAATTGGTCATGAATTTTTTCTTTTCTAACTGCTTTTTTGGTTTAATTTGATATAATAAAGTTGTTTGTTTTTCTGACGCAAAAGATAAATTATAAATAAAAAACCTATAAAGTTCTTTTTTTCTTCATGATGTGCTGTTGTCGATAGCCGATTATTATTACTATTTTGTTTTCGTTATGTAATATCTTGATGAAAATATCTATCGTATCAATCTTAACGTATTCGAGTCCACTTTTTTGACACGATAGATGAAGAAAACGAATGTTAACGTCGATCTGATATTATTATAACTGAAATCTTTCTTATCGATCTAATTTTTGGAGTGATTAAATCAAAAAAACAATAATTACATATCGGTATAAAATACTAAAACAATACTTCAAAACTCTATGTGAAAATGCACAGTGTTCATGTTATCATATAGTTTCGTTTTATGGTAAATACTCTTCAATCGAAATAATGTTTCATCAAATTTATACACATGTTCTTGCTTCTGATCGATAGTGTTAATCCTTTGCATACGGCAGTACATACATTGTGCCACCTGTGTTTTCTTTTTCGGTAGAGAATCAAATGTTTTGTTTCAGATTAAACTGCAAGAATACAAAGCCTGTAGATAATAGGTTGCTTGAATTGTCTTCTTGTGCATTTCTTTTCTTTTTTTCTATCCTGTTGTCTAATCCTTTTCAGATGCTCTCATTATTTTCTTCTATTGTGTAGTGACATGATTTTTTTCGAGAATATTTGAGAAGAGTTGCACTTTCTATTANATTTTTGAATGTGGGTCAATATGAGTGAACATAAAGGCACAATCCATACCCACACCCACCGACACCCGCACCCCACTCACACCCTATTCATGATGGGCTATCCATATACGATATGGCTATAAAAATCGGCCGATTTGGCTCTTCCGCTCATCTTTGCCACAGAGTATGGGTGTCGGTATGGATTGTGCCTTTATGTTCACTCATATTGACCCACATTCAAAAATGAAAATGATTTTTTTTATCAGCTTAGAACATGGTTGATGTCAAATCGATGGGATATGTTGTAAAATTTTAATGTTTATAATATTCTGACGAAATTTTATTTACGTAAACAAAACAA